CCCCAAAACCCCAAAACCCCAAAACCCCAAAACCCCAAAACCCCTTCTAGAAATAAATTATTGTAATTTCGGCTGAAGAAGATCAGTTATTCGTCATTGTTCCCCTCTCCCTCTTTATCGCCCTCTGCTGCACCTTCTCCCTCATTTGCTGGAGGAGCTTCAACTTCTTGTGGGTTTGGCTCTGGATGTTCTTCAATGTCTTCAGGATCTTCTGGGATGTAAGGAGAATGAACAGGGAAGTAACTCTTTATTTCATATTTATGACCATTTCCAACATAAATTTGGTGCCAGTTTACACCTTTCCAGACTGTAACAGATCCAGGCCACCTATTAGATTTTACTACTATAACTCCGTTATGTTCTGTCTTTCCTCTGATAGTCTTCTGCCTCTCTTTATCTCCATGTAGTCTGATGTTCCAGGCTGGAACTCCTTTTTCCACCTCAGAGTCATCTGAAATCAGTTTGAGTCTTGGATCATAAGGGTCTTTTGCTTCGATTTCTTTGAGAATCTCCTCTGGGTCTCTCTCATCCTCTTCTTCTGGCTCAGGATCCATATGCTGGGTCCTACAATTCTGAAGGATACCTTTTGGATAATGACTCCAGTTGGAGAGATGGTTTTGATTTTCAGTCTGAGGAACATATTTGTTCTCCTCATCTTCTGGCTCATTGGCTTCTATCTCCTTTAGATCTTCCTCGTTAGTACGATACAATCCTTTAGGAACAAGTGTTGTACCGTGATGAATTCTTGCAATCTGAGCTCTGAGATAATGCTTCTCCTTTCCATGGAAGAAAGGAACTGTGACAATATCCTTCTCTAAATCTCCAGTGAATGAAATTTTAATGTCTCTTGAAACTTTTAAATATTTAGGGAACAAGTCTGGAAGTTGGGTCCACTCACTCAGTGAGTCATGAGCTACCCAATAAACAAACTGGTTAACTCCTGTTCCTCTCGCTTCAAAATCTGCTGGTTTTTCTTCATCTCCTTCGCCTTCTTCATCACCTTCCTTAACTCCTTCAGCGATGTAATAATCTCTGTTCGTTCCATAGATTTTTCCCCAGAATCTGATCTTTGTAGCCCCAGATGTTTCAGCTAGCTTAGCAAGAGATTTCTGGAGAAGGAAATATTCTTTCTCACCAAAGGTAATTCCAGCCCATTCAAAGACTCTACCAAGTGTGATTAGATCAGGAACGTTGCCAACAGGAGCTTTCTCTGGAGGTTCTTCGTCTTCTTCTAACACTGGAGCCTCAAAGAGCTTGCCTGCTTTGAAGGAATACTCAGAATTTGCCTCTGTTCAAGTCTTGAATCGTATTTCTTCAGCTATTTTCAAGAATTCTTGAATATTAACATCATCCTTATTTTTGCATAAATAAGAGACTTCTTCAATTTTATCAAGTGCATCTTCAGGATAATGTCTCATTAGATGGCCAAAGACTTCAATTAGATGAGAGTAGAGGTCATCCCCAGTGTTAGACTTCAGACCTTTGAGCAACTTCTTGTAACTCTCAACGTCTTTTTGCATTGAAGACATGAAAAATTTATTCAAAAATTATTATAGTTCAAATATAATTTTAAATTTCGGGGTTTTGGGGTTTTGGGGTTTTGGGGTTTTGGGG